TTGGATCCGGGCCAATCGTGCGTTCATTTGGTGAGCACACGCCAGTTCATAACTTCGAACCCTTACTCATGTCAGCCATCTCACATAAACCGTATGGTTTATAAAAACTACCCTAGTAGCAATGAATGTCGTCATTCACTCAGTTTAACTAAATCTCCCACTATCTCATTAGAACTCATTCTCATCCTTCCTAAGATCACATCGGCAAAGTTAGAGAGGGTGTCTTTAGACATAATTACGTAGTTTAGGCTACGTACGATGTCTGGTTAGAGTTGGTTAAATGGCATACGCCAGTTAACTGGCGTATACAGTAGGTACGCTATCTCATGAAGTGTTGACTGAAATTGTACAACGTATTGGGGCACTTCACGCGTCAGTTTATCACAAACAGACATATTCAGAGGTCATCTTACATGAATGAAGGCGAAATTTTGAGTTCCAGGTGTATGTATAAGTGAAGAAGAAGGGTCGAGCACCGGAACACTTCGTTTATTGTCGGACCCCTGCACGAGTCCGAAAGCTCGTGCTCTACCCTTCTTCACTTATTCATCTTGCATTTTGAGAGTAACCACCGTGTCCATCACAAACGGAGTACAGTCTATAGCTTTTTGAATCGAGCCAAGACTCAATGCCCTGATGAAGCAACTTATCAAGCAAAAATGAAATACCTCTACAAACTTTCCTCAAAATGGGTACCCGCATGACTTTATACGTCAATGCACGTGTCACTAGCAATTTAAAGGGAAAGGTATTTCCAATACTACGGCCGCCCGGGCACCAAAACCAATCATCTGGCGAACTGTCCCATACATGAAAAACGTATCTGAACTAGTCGAAAAAAACAACCAAAAAACGTCAGATACATATAGCACACCAGCCGTCAACTACCTTAGGCATACAGCTTGTACACACAAAGACAGGGTTGTCTACCTCGGTAGAAAAGTTGTTTACAAAATCCCATGTGCTTGTTCTGGTGCCGTCTACTGTGACCAAACGGAAATCTGTCTCAAACCATATACGCGAACATCAGTTAGCGATGAAGTGACGCAACCGTCTGTCTCATGTGGCCGTCTGTGCACTGGACAGAAGTCTGCGTAGGAAAACACTCGTATTGTTGGCGTATGTTAAATAAAAAGGCTGCGAATTCCTAGGAGCAATGCGCCCAGATGAGGCCTGCATCAACCGGCATATCGACCTAGATGCCGCATACAAAATCATGAAGGAAAAATTCAAACTGACGCAACAAATCTCAAGGAATTGACGAAATGTGATTAACACGTATTGGCACAAACGTTGACCAATCGTAGAATTCTTTGTTAGACTCGGTTAAGAAGTTAATTGCTTCGGTACATCCATAGTCCAAGGACGGGCTGGGGGACCAACCTCGAAAATTTAAACGATAAAAGTTCCGGTTTTTCAGAGAATTTCCTTTTCCTAATATATAGTTAGTACCTATGTCGGTAGTACGGTATAATACGTTTGTAATATGTACAGTTGCCCCCGTTCTAAATTCCAGACGGTCCCCGCCTTCTTACCGAAACTATAACTCCAACCCTCCAAGTACTAGCCCTAACGTGAAGAGGGAAACACGATCGCTGGAACAAGAGCGTTACTCGTCTGACTTTTCGGATTCCGGCTCGAACCTATCCTCGGAGACGATGATAAATACCTTTCGTTCATGCACAAGGGTCTGCAGCACTTAAAGGGCAGAGTCGCCATGCTACCGCATTTCTACGGAAATTCACAGCTTTTTCATCAGGGATTGTTGCACACTGGCGTGATGACTGTTTGATAGCCGACATTCGGGTCGTTAATCGTTGCAATTTTATCACAGCTGTTGGGTTGGTGTGATGATGGCCTGACCATCTGATCCACCGATCCTGACGTTGGGAACAGTGTTCGCCGGTGAGCTCCCCTTGTGGCTGATTACTCCGCCTTGACGAAGTCTCAGCACCGAGTATCGAAGGGGAAGGTAATTGATCTTGTTAACAAACTGGGAGCCAGTTAACCCTGACTAAAGTAGCTCGTGACTCATGGGTTGCCACCGTCGAGTCTGAATCTGTGGCCTGATCTCGCCGAATTAGCCGCGACTTAAAAGCTAGTGTCATTTCTCAGCGTTGCTGCCGGGTGTTTGACCACTCGCGTTTGGAGCAGTCTTCTGGTTTCCCCGACGCAGTTGCTTTGTCCGCAACTGAACCAGACCCGATAGACGACCCCAGACGTTTCTTGTCGTGGCCGTAGGTCCTTCGGTCTCATTATCTGACACCTGATGGTTGCCTCAGGTCTGTGTGCAACACCAACCCCAAGTGGCGCGAGGAAGCGGCCGACGGCCTCTGAAACACTCTTGACATACGAAAGTGCTCGCCAAAGTTTGGGGTCCGTGTGGTCTGGCCTTTCGTCCTGTTTGCGTATGCACCAGTTGACGAAGTTGTGCGAGTAGCCATTGGCTCTGAACACCCGTCGAAGGTATTTATAGTTCGGTACTCGGCAGAGTCGTTGGGTCGGATGGTCGAGCGATCATCAAACCAACACCCAACAGCCGTAATCAGTTTGCAGCGATTAACGACGCGAATGTCGGCCATCGAACGGTCATCACACCAAGTGCAGCAATCCTCGATGAAGGGTGAGTCGTGAAATTACGTAGGTATGCGGTCGCATGGCAAATGCATCCTATAAATGCTGCAGTCCCTTGTGCATGAACTACCCATATCTGCTGTTCTCCTGATAATGGGTTCGAACAGAAATCCGAAACGTCAAGCTTTTATTACAGCGACCGCGTCTCTTTTAAGACTGCTTCTTGGAACTCGTCTCTTTGCTCCCATTGACTGGCTTAACCGCAACACTAAATTTCCGAAACCTAACGCTAACCCTTACTTTTACCCCCTCCCCCGACTTAAAATAAAAGCCCGTATCTCCTTGTCCAATTAAGTATTGCGCATAAGCGCCGGCGATCAGCGCGAGGACAGGCAGAACCGGCGGTAGCAGCCGCCTCAACGCAGCATGAACACACAGGGACAGCTGCCGCCGGTTTTCCGTCTCGCATCCTCCCAGGACTGCGTAGACGAAATCGGACTGAATGTAATCGGAACAAACAGAATGTCAGGAAGATGAGGTTACACTAGGTTAGGCGGGATTTGTCTTAACTTATATTAAGTCATCATTATTATGTATTTCTACGTTATAAATTCTTTTTCCATTGTTTACGCTCGTGTATCTTTTAGGAATTCTTTGTACTTGCTGGCCATGTGGATCTCGAGGTTCTTGCGCAGTGGCCTTGTAGGCTTAGGTGCGAAAGGTAAAAACGTTGCGACTTCGAAAGGTTTACCCAAAAAACTCCCCATAGCGGGCGTCCAAAATGTTGTGCTAATAGCCTCAGCGAAGGGTGGCGTAGGTAATATCCTCAGAACTTGCTTACTATTCTTCTTACTAGGAAAATCGACTGTTGCGGTCAACCTCGCACTTGCATCCTCCTTGCTCAATTCGGCATTGCGAATAGGATTGATGGATGGGGATATTTTCGGGCCTTCAATACCGCAAATGATGGGTCTTGAAGGCATAGAACCTGAAGTCAATGCCAAAAAGTTAATAATTCCTTTGCAAAACTATGGCATCAAGACCATGTCAATGGGTTCGTTGATAAGAAAAGAGTCTGCCGTCGTGTGGCGTGGACTGATGGTAATGAGTGCAATCCAACAACTCCTACGCCAGGTAAGCACATTTGGTTTCTGCTGTCTACACAGTTTCTGAGTTCTGTGTTGTCTAACTAGCTCTTTTACATTTTGCTATGGCCTCGTGATATCTGACATGTAGAATGTAGATTGTCGAGTAACTTCCTTCGGTGCACTTAATTCTTTATGAGCGGCCTGTTAGATGTCCTAAAACTCATTATTGCCTGCTTATCACTAAGGAATGTTTGGCCGCCTTGGCTTTTTGTTTCCCCCATCGTCCCATGTGTGCGATATGCTTGGACGCCTTTAGGGCCGCAATTCGTCATTGGCTTACACGCCAGGGAGGTGTATAACTTCGGCCCTGGCTTCGAAAGTTCGCCAGACGTTATCAAAGATTGCACGGAGCCCTACTTGCACAATGCCCCACCGTAGCCGTAGTACCACACAGAATACTTCAAAGATTAGACTCAACTTTTGGACATTGTTCCATCATTAGAATCCTTGTTGGACGCGCCCACCTCTCACCCCCTTTCTTCCCTTAAAGGTCGCTTGGGGGCCTCTTGATACCCTATTCGTGGACACCCCACCGGGGACTGGGGATGTGCAACTCTCAATCAGTCAAAACATACCTGTTCAAGGAGCAGTCATTGTGACTACATCGCACTCGCTGTCATTGGCAGACACACGCCGAGGAATCGAAATGATGCTAAAATTGAACGTGAGTTCTTCGCAACAATATTTCATTCCACCTTACTGGTCACACCTCTGTATACCTCCCTACAACTCTGATTGACCCAGTCGACGAAGATACTTCTTGCATGAGCACATCTCAGCCAACGGGATCACTACTTTTTCAGAAGCCATCTTTTGTAACGCAAGGGTCACCTGCTCATTTGCAGTGCCGCGCATAGCCAAGCCTCAGAATCGACCCAAGTTCCTTGCAGGCCTTCTAGACACAGAGAAGCGAAAGGCGTCTTGATAGACCGTTTTTCCAGTACTACGTACTCTGATTTCAGCATGATTTACCGGAAATTCAAACGCATGCATTGCAGGGTCAGACACTCCAACCGAGATTACAGTACCAAAGCGGCAGACAAACTTAAAGCGCTCCCAAGCGCGTCATGTCCGCACCACACGCATACGTCACGTCGGCCCTCCTTCCTGCTTATTTGCGACTGCCTAGGTTTGATGCAGTGTAAGGTCTGATCGTCACGTAACATCTGATACTTGTTCATTTACTCAGTTCTACGCCTTCTTTACGGCGAAACCTGTTTATTCACCCCCCTCCCCCCCCCCTACAGGTCCCCCTAATCGG